ACCCAATCCCTCTCTCATAATCCAGGTTGCAGATGTGGGTGACTGGCGTAAGAACGTCGAGGACAAGGCCGGAATGGACGGCAGGAAGAAGATGTTTGAGAGCGAGGCCTAAATTCCCGGACGTTTCTTTGCTTAGTTATCGTAGGGATTTGTCAGAGCTGTGTGGTCATTTAACTTTTTGCCATAGTTGTATGTCTTTTCTGCTTTCAGTGCCTCAAATGAGCATTTGTTTCATGCAGTATGTATGTCCTGAAAGGGAATTATGTATCATCGCAGAGCCACTACCATTAAACAAATGCTTTTGAGGAAAATCCTTTTTCATGTTTGTTTTATTACGCACGGTTTGGTCCTTTCACTCTTTTCCAGTCTTTGACTGGTGGTTTGTTATGACTTTAAGGAATAAAATACTGTAGTGCTGCTATTAAATTATTTAATTTAAAGGGGTCATATGATGTTGCTAAAAAGAACATTATTTTGTGTATTTGGTGTAATGCAATGCGTTTATGCGGTTTAAGGTTAAAAAAACACATTATTTTCCACATACTGTACATTATTGTTGCTCCTCTATGCCCCGCCTTTCTGAAACGCGTTGATTTTTACAAAGCTCATCGGTCTGAAAAGCGAGGTGTGCTCTGATTGGCCAGCTATCCAGTGCTTTGTGATTGGCCGAATACCTCAAGCGTGTGTATATACGTATACTGTATTTTTACGCTTTGCGTATCGCGCCGCCTAAACATAAAACCTTGTCTGCATTTGTAATCGGAGAAACGACAAACAACAAGCGCTACTCTAAATTGCTTACAACTCGCGTTTGAATCATCAGTGGCAAATTCTTTTAATGATAAAAAAAATTTACTTATAGGCTGTGAGTCAGGAGCGCCAGACTGTCCTTGCAAAGTTGGAACTGCCCCACTTTAAAGAACAGCCTTTGATTACAGACCCATTGTAGGCTACTCTGCAGGTTCAGGAAACAGTCCTCCATAAAATGCGTCACACAGCGTCACACACTGAGGGCTTGAGTGAGGAATGGCCGGCGGGCTTGAGAATGGTGCAGCAGGCAGATTCGACGAAGGAGCTGCTGGTGGGCTTGCAGCAACCACATGTGACGACCCCAGGCTGGACTCCGCTTCATCCATGGTGAAAGCCGATCCGGCGATCCACAGCGTGAAGTTGATGTACTTCCTCAGCGACCAGCACAGATCAGCTCTAGGTATGACGAAGCGGATATAGTCCTCGTTTGGACACAGCATCTCCACAACATGGCGGCGGCGGCGGCAACAACAATACTACAGTGAGAATAAAAGTTATGCCTTCTTTCTTTGTGTGAACATTTGGGCGGTTTTATGCAAATCTTCCCACACAGTGACGTAGACATGTGGGGGCGTGTTTAAACGAGGCGTTTTAGGAGGGCATGGACAAGTCTTAACTTTTATAAAGAATATCTCTTTGGATTTGAGACTTTAGTCTTTGCAACTTTACAGATCTTCTTTATGCACAAAGAGCTTGTAACACTCCAAAGAGAAAGCAAAAATTGAAATTGCATCATATGACCCCTTTAATTTAAATTTATCTCGTTGTGTTTGCATTGCTTCCGTTTACAGCACACACACACATATGCGTCTTGAATGAAGGGAAATTCACGAGTCTTGCCGAGGATGAGCTCGGGATATTTCAGGATCTCAGTGGCCTACTGGTCTGAAGAGGAATCCACGTCTCCGGCCTTTGGACCGATTGAACCCGGCCACGTCCATAAAAACAAGAATGTGGGTTGTTTCATGTCCTTCTAACTCCATGATTCTCTACGAAGAAACACAGAAGCAAAATAAAGTAAATTTTTATTCTAGAGTTCAATAAATGCTTTCTCTTCTTATGGGTTTCTAAAACAGTAAAACTCACTAAGTGCACACCAATAGTTTACCTGGACATACTGGTACCGCAGCTCTTTCACTATTCCTCTCAAATGGCACCTTGTAGAGTTGTTTCATAGTCATTTGATGTCTTTTCAAAACTTTGTCTTTGGTGGAAATGCTAACAGAATTTATATTTGCGAAGACATTGTCATTTATGATTGCACTTTGGATCTCTCTTAGCCTGATGGAATTGTTGGCTATGACCATGTTGCAAATTTCTTGTTCTTGCTGATGGATAAATACTGCTGCTCTGCCACCAGCGCGAGGTTGTTGTGCGGTTCTATAGAATGTACAAATAGACTTGCATTTACCTTTACAATATTGTGGTTTATAAAAATGCTTTACATACTGTAAAACAAAAAAAAGATCTTTAGACATTTGTACTGGAAAACAAGACAAAAATACTGTGGAAGAACATCACTTTTTTGCCGTGTGATACAGTAAAAGTTATTTCTATGTTGTAGCCTTTAGGAGCAGATCTATTCAAGACATAAGCTACTTTTTTATTTATTGTAAAATTAATTAAAAATTAATGGAGGTCTGTAGGAAGTTGTATTTTTATTTAGAGACCATACTGACACATCAGATTCCATTGAATTTATTCCTTAAAATGTTCTTTACTTGGTCATACAAAGTCTTAAATTTACCCTCATAAAACCTGCAGAAACCCTGAATATATAACTTTTTAGAATAGCAACAAATAGATGTCAAAATAATATGCTGTGAATGTGTAAGTATGTTTCATTTGATTACCATTCCTTCACACCCAATCCCTCTCTCATAATCCAGGTTGCAGATGTGGGTGACTGGCGTAAGAACGTCGAGGACAAGGCCGGAATGGACGGCAGGAAGAAGATGTTTGAGAGCGAGGCCTAAATTCCCGGACGTTTCTTTGCTTAGTTATCGTAGGGATTTGTCAGAGCTGTGTGGTCATTTAACTTTTTGCCATAGTTGTATGTCTTTTCTGCTTTCAGTGCCTCAAATGAGCATTTGTTTCATGCAGTATGTATGTCCTGAAAGGGAATTATGTATCATCGCAGAGCCACTACCATTAAACAAATGCTTTTGAGGAAAATCCTTTTTCATGTTTGTTTTATTACGCACGGTTTGGTCCTTTCACTCTTTTCCAGTCTTTGACTGGTGGTTTGTTATGACTTTAAGGAATAAAATACTGTAGTGCTGCTATTAAATTATTTAATTTAAAGGGGTCATATGATGTTGCTAAAAAGAACATTATTTTGTGTATTTGGTGTAATGCAATGCGTTTATGCGGTTTAAGGTTAAAAAAACACATTATTTTCCACATACTGTACATTATTGTTGCTCCTCTATGCCCCGCCTTTCTGAAACGCGTTGATTTTTACAAAGCTCATCGGTCTGAAAAGCGAGGTGTGCTCTGATTGGCCAGCTATCCAGTGCTTTGTGATTGGCCGAATACCTCAAGCGTGTGTATATACGTATACTGTATTTTTACGCTTTGCGTATCGCGCCGCCTAAACATAAAACCTTGTCTGCATTTGTAATCGGAGAAACGACAAACAACAAGCGCTACTCTAAATTGCTTACAACTCGCGTTTGAATCATCAGTGGCAAATTCTTTTAATGATAAAAAAAATTTACTTATAGGCTGTGAGTCAGGAGCGCCAGACTGTCCTTGCAAAGTTGGAACTGCCCCACTTTAAAGAACAGCCTTTGATTACAGACCCATTGTAGGCTACTCTGCAGGTTCAGGAAACAGTCCTCCATAAAATGCGTCACACAGCGTCACACACTGAGGGCTTGAGTGAGGAATGGCCGGCGGGCTTGAGAATGGTGCAGCAGGCAGATTCGACGAAGGAGCTGCTGGTGGGCTTGCAGCAACCACATGTGACGACCCCAGGCTGGACTCCGCTTCATCCATGGTGAAAGCCGATCCGGCGATCCACAGCGTGAAGTTGATGTACTTCCTCAGCGACCAGCACAGATCAGCTCTAGGTATGACGAAGCGGATATAGTCCTCGTTTGGACACAGCATCTCCACAACATGGCGGCGGCGGCGGCAACAACAATACTACAGTGAGAATAAAAGTTATGCCTTCTTTCTTTGTGTGAACATTTGGGCGGTTTTATGCAAATCTTCCCACACAGTGACGTAGACATGTGGGGGCGTGTTTAAACGAGGCGTTTTAGGAGGGCATGGACAAGTCTTAACTTTTATAAAGAATATCTCTTTGGATTTGAGACTTTAGTCTTTGCAACTTTACAGATCTTCTTTATGCACAAAGAGCTTGTAACACTCCAAAGAGAAAGCAAAAATTGAAATTGCATCATATGACCCCTTTAATTTAAATTTATCTCGTTGTGTTTGCCGTTTACACGTTTACAGCACACACACACATATGCGTCTTGAATGAAGGGAAATTCACGAGTCTTGCCGAGGATGAGCTTTCAGGATCTTGAACACGGCCTCGTCCACAAAAACAAGAATGTGTGTTGTTTCATGTCCTTCTAACTCCATGATTCTCTACGAAGAAACACAGAAGCAAAATAAAGTAAATTTTTATTCTAGAGTTCAATAAATGCTTTCTCTTCTTATGGGTTTCTAAAACAGTAAAACTCACTAAGTGCACACCAATAGTTTACCTGGACATACTGGTACCGCAGCTCTTTCACTATTCCTCTCAAATGGCACCTTGTAGAGTTGTTTCATAGTCATTTGATGTCTTTTCAAAACTTTGTCTTTGGTGGAAATGCTAACAGAATTTATATTTGCGAAGACATTGTCATTTATGATTGCACTTTGGATCTCTCTTAGCCTGATGGAATTGTTGGCTATGACCATGTTGCAAATTTCTTGTTCTTGCTGATGGATAAATACTGCTGCTCTGCCACCAGCGCGAGGTTGTTGTGCGGTTCTATAGAATGTACAAATAGACTTGCATTTACCTTTACAATATTGTGGTTTATAAAAATGCTTTACATACTGTAAAACAAAAAAAAATACATACATATTTACCGGTTTTCTCTATGAAAGGTTTGCACAATTGATGACACTGTGAAACTGTTTACATTAGGCTGTACTCTTCGACCAGCCTCTTCCATTGTAAAACCATGATTTATGACATGATCCACGAGTGTGGCTCTGATTTCATCAGAGACTCTGACTCTTCCATTTCCACCTCTTCCTCTGTTATGTCTTCCTCTAACACCACCACCACGTATTCTTACACATCTTCCAATTGCTCTTCCACGAGCATGTTGCTGCAGTTCAGGGTTGTGGAAGTCCTCCATTCTTAGTGATTGTGCTGTGGGCAATCTACATATATATGCTCCCAAACTTGATTGGTTAAATGGTTGATTCAAATTGTATTGCAATTAGAGGTAATTTGCCAATTTAGCAGACATTACAAACAATGTCAATGTCAGATATTTATGGAATATACATGTGTATACCAATTTTTCGTAATTGAATGGATCGTTTTGAATGTGATGGCTTACACAATAAAATGTTTGAGAAGAGTTTGACAGTTTAAGTGAGAATCGGCTCATCAGTTTTGATCAACAAGCCATATGCAATTAGTTGTTGTGCAAACTGCTGACAATTGTACTTACTCTTTGCACACATGTGCCAAAGCATTTGCAATTTGCTCAAATCAATAAGAAATTCCAATCTGATGTGAACAAGAAGCTAATTGTTCAGAGATCTGAACTTAAAAAGGTTTCATTCGAGAATTGAGCCAAAGCAATTGAGAAAAACTGTAATATACATTATTTTAGTATCATTGAGATACTTTTATAATTTGTATTATTATTTTGAATCGTTTTTATTTTTATATTTTCATTTTCATTTTCGTTAGTTTTAGTAATGTTGTTGTGTTTTTGTTATTTGTATTTGTTTTTTATGTATGTATATATAGTTTTTAATTCATATTTATGTTTTAGTTATTTTCAGTATTTTATTACATGAAGTTAAACTAAATAAATAAATGTTAAACTAACATAATAAATGTTGAACTAGCTGAAATAAAATTAGATAGATAGATAGGAGATGGGTGGATAGATAGATAGATAGACATGGGTGGATAGATAGATAGATAGAGATGGGTGGCTAGATAGATAGATAGAGATGGGTGGCTAGATAGATAGATAGAGATGGGTGGCTAGATAGATAGATAGAGATGGGTGGCTAGATAGATAGATAGAGATGGGTGGCTAGATAGATAGATAGAGATGGGTGGCTAGATAGATAGATAGAGATGGGTGGCTAGATAGATAGATAGAGATGGGTGGCTAGATAGATAGATAGAGATGGGTGGCTAGATAGATAGATAGATAGAGATGGGTGGATAGATAGATAGATAGATAGATAGAGATGGGTAGATAGATAGAATCTTATAATCAATATCATGAATAATCTTGTTTTGGCCTTCCAGGAGCTGTGCAAGAAGCTTCACCAACAGATCGACCAGGTTGATGAGGAGAGATATGACTTGGAGGCAAAGGTTGCCAAGTCAGACAAGGAGGTAAAGATCGCCACACCTCAGTGTTGTCGTATGTTCTGCGATTCATCCATTTATTTATTTCTTAATCAGAATGAGTGTTGTTATTAATAAATATTGGGTTGTCTGAGCTCCATTTTGACTGTGGTTTAATGCGTTTCTAGATTGAGGATCTGAAGATCAAGGTGGTAGACCTGCAGGGCAAGTTCAAGAAACCTGCACTAAAGAAAGTGCACATTTCTGCTGACACTATGCTTCAGGCTCTGCTGGGCTCCAAACACAAGGTCTCCATGGACCTGAGAGCCAACCTCAAACAAGTCAAGGAGGAGGTCAAAGAGGAGGTGGGTTGCAGATTCAGAAATGTTTCTTGTCTCTGCTTGGCCACGTTACCCATTTCTGATGTTTTGTGTTTCCACAGTCTGCAGAACAAGTCGGCGACTGGCGTAAGAACATTGAGGATAAGGCTGGTATGGATGGCAGGAAGAAGATGTTTGAGTCCGAGGCTTAAGATGTGTTGTGGTTATTCACCCATATGTCTTAATTTCTCTGCCAAACATCTTTCTATCCTGTGAACCTCCCGTTCCAATCAAAATATTTTTCCTGGACTGTTTTGCACATTGTACATTGTCCCAATGTTGAACGGCATGGCATTAAAGATTTGTGTATACATATGTATTTGCCTTTGTGTTTTTGAGCGTTGCAGCACTCCTGAACAGCTAATTATATTACCACGTACACTAATGCTTTGGGTCTGGAAGATTTAATTTTTTTTTTTTTTAGAAGACTCCTATGCTCACCAAGGCTGGATTTATTTGATTAAATATGCAGTAAAAACAATATTTTTGTGAAATATTATTTGAATTTCAAATAACAGTTTTCTGTTGTAATATGATACTGTATATAAATGTAATTTATTGCTGTGATCAAAGCTGAATTTTCAGCATCATTACTCCGGTCTTCAGTGCCACATGATCTTCAGAAATCATTCTAATATGCTGATTTGCTGCAAACATTTCTGAATATTATCAATGTAAGAAACGGTTGTGCTGTTTCATATTTTTGTGGAAACTGTGATACATTTTTTTTCAGGATTCTTTGAATAGAAAGTTAAAAAAAACATTTATTTAAAATAGAAACATTAGAAATGTGTTAATATAGCAATTTTGTCTGCAATCAATTTACATTTGATGAAAGAGACTCAAAGGCATAAAGGAAGATTTAAATTACGGTATTAAAAAAGTTATTATAATAAACAACTTACACTGAAGTAGTCCCACTGTAACGGGGCTGACGAGACGTGAGACGTGTGGATCCATCTGCAGGCTTTATTCAAGAGACGTGGTAAACAGGCAGGGTCAAACAATGGCAAACAGGTATATGGCGGGCAAAACACAAGAATAGTCCCAGGGCTAGCGTAGGTCACCGATCAGCAGAGAGAATCACAGGGGCGAGACGAGAGGGAGAAATCCAAGAAAACAGGCAAAGATCAGAAACCGCAAAAACAGGCAAGGCAAAACAAGGAAAACACGGAGACTCGGAAAGGGGTACAGGCTAAACAATACTCAGCAGAGAAAGGTGGTTAGGGTGGGTGTTATATAGTGAGTGAGGTGATTAGAAACAGCTGTGTGCAATGAGTGCAGTCAGTGCAGTGTGCAAACCGTGCAATGAATGATGGGATATGTAGTCCGGGGTGCTATGCAACAGTTTGTGTTGTGCGAGAGTCAATGTAAAGGAAAGGGTGATCTGATCTGGTGGTGAATAAACGGAAGTCCATGGACCGAATTCGTGACACCCACGATACAGTAATAGTGTCATATGGTAATACCATGGTACTTTTTTATGAAATTTTACTAAATGATTCCAGTACCCTATTCATGTACCATTGGAAAATACCATGGTAATACCATAGTACCATGCCCCCCAAAAATAAAACATGGTAATTACGTGGTATATTTCTTAGTTCATTTCACTTTGGTAAACATTAGTGAAAATACTCTAATCAAGGATGTAAAACATTGATGGCTGAAACAGCTGGTTATTAATATGCCAATATCATTCTTACAAAACATACTTTGCTACCATGGCACTGTGATAGTATCCGATGGCAAACCATGGAATTTGTATTACCTTGAAATTAAATTGAACTACCACGGTACAGTTAATACCGTCCAAAAACGTTCTGTTTGCTGTAATGTTTGATTCTCTAACTGATTATAAACCTTTGAAATGTATGCTGTATGTGCACAATAATTTATCATAACATAATATAACAAAGTATGCTTTGTTTTAGTATTATTAATGGGTTTATTATTGTGAATCCCAGTTTTCTTTGTAAAACATGAGACCTTTCAATGAGAACTTCCAACATATTTAGATTTTAAAAAATCTATCCATCTCAATCATCCCAGCTGTTCCCACTACTTACAAATATATCAGGCCTGACCATTTCATTTTTCACAAAGACAACACAGGAACCCCCAGCACTCTCACTACGGGACCCTGAACCATTTCAGGCTTGCACTTTCACACCCAGCCCACCCATCAGCTCCTCTTTCTGAATCCAGGGCTCTCATCACCTCCATGTAAGGTCAAGCCGGTCTAGATTTATTCGCTTGTGTGGTCCGGCCATGTTCAGGGACCCTCTTAGATTTCTCCAAGGAGCTCAAGTGCTGAACTGCGAGGAGCTGACTTGCTAAGTATATCTCCTGACCTCACTGCACCAAAAGCAAGAAGATGTCAAACTATGCTGAGGGCACATAATTTCCACAGGCACTTAGACAGACACCCTGAAACCTAAAGCAAAGCTTATAACATTTGGAAAACTGCCACCATGAGATCTGGTGTCCATTGGGTCCATTTAGAAGATTGAATTTCAGCTTAAAAACAACCATTTACATACATACTGTTGTAGTCTTTTTTTTACGCTTCTGGATACTGCATTGCAAATGGTATGAATGGTAAGAGTTTTCTACGGCTAATGGGGTCCTGCTGTGACACATTATTATGTCAGTAATGTCACGACCCATCTGCGGTCTCTCTCAGTTACATGAACTTATGAGAAACAGCTGCTTTTAACTGGCACATACAGCCATGCACAAGCCAGGGTGTAACACAGGACTATTACAGCTACAGCACTGAAGTTTTGCAGTGCTGCAGATTGTGAAAGGGGTCCTATTTTGTCCTATGCTCTTGTGCAAAGTCTTGATTTTGTTTTCGGGGTGTACTAGAACAGGCTCGTTGTTCGAAAACACATTATTTTTCACATATTTTACATTACAACACCTCTCTCCCCAGTCTGGCATGAACGGCTCGAATAGTTCCTGTATCAAATGAAGGCCTGCCTTCTGAAATACGAAATGTGCTGTGATTGGTTAGCTGGGCCAGTGTGTGCTGTGATTGGTTAGCTGGGCCAGTTTGTGCTGTGATTGGTTAGCTGGGCCAGTGTGTGTTGTGATTGGTTAGCTGGGCCAGTGTGTGCTGTGATTGGCAGCACTCAGCGCCTGGTCGGGAAATGTCATGCCTCTTACCATAGCCGCATGCCAGCTTCAGTGTAAATATTGCGTCAAAATCAAATCAATTTGAGTGTGATTTAAACCATTCTAAGTTCGTCTGCCTTGGGAAAGCTAGCGTGTCTCCGACATAGTGATAACACTCGTTGCCTTCTCTAGTGCAGCTCAACCAGGTCTCGCCCATTTGTCGATATTTGTGATATCACAAATCCCGGAAAATATGCGTTGTAAACGAATCCCAAACGAGTCGCTTGTAGTTTTTGAAAAGTGATTTCTGTTAAATAAAATATCTCCTTTTGAAGTGGACTTGAGCTT